TATATACTTTTATTTTTTAATTTAAATTTTCACTGAATTTTTTTTTTCATTTGCTTAGTTTCATGCATCTCTAATTCCTGACTAAGGTCCTCACTGTCTTGTGAATTTGTCTTAGGGGTAGAGTTCTGGAATCCTGTTTCCTGTCTCTCTGATCTGGCGTGGTGGCTCCCTGGACCTGATACAGGACAGTGTTCCTAAGCAATCCTTTACTTCCCATCACAACCCATCTCCTTGTCCTTATAGGGACTCTCCACGCCTTGCAGGTGCTAGAGCTCCTTTTTCCTGTTTCCATCCTATATCTTTGTTCTTGTGATTTTACCTTGTCTTGGCAAACTCATTCTCCAGTACCTTCCCAGGAAAGGACATGCTGTTTCTCCTTTGGATACTTTTAGGATCTTTCTTTATTCCTGCTGTCTTGATATTTCAATATCATAATGTCTTCTTAGGTGAGTATTTTTTCAGGTATTAAGCTAGTTTAACTGAGGGTGTTATATGTACATTCAGAGACAAGGGCCATTTTTCATTCACTCTTCAGATAAATGCATTAATAGGACAGAAACAGTTCAATTTGAAAAGTTTTATATTTCAGCTCTAGAGAGTTTTTTGAAGTATTTTTCTAGAAATCCCTCATGTCTATCTTTTTGCCAGAGCACTTCCTGTTTATACTGGATCTCCCAGACTGACCACCTTCTCTCTCAATCCAGTTTTACTATTGGCAAGTGCTCTGTTGTGTGTATTTTTCCCATATTTTTAAGAAGTAGTAATAGCAAATACATACGTCCAAGTTGTCTGTATTTAACTGGAATCCTCTGATGTCTTTTCAGACATAGTTATGGCAGTCAAGTAAGCTATTATACAAGTCTATATAGTTTCTTTGAAATGAAAACCATATGATTTTCCTGCCTACAAAAAAATTTTTTTTTTCAGGATGTCTACTTGAAGTAGAAGAGCAAGTTATTGAAAGGCAGGTAGGAATAGGTAAAACCTCTTTGGGCCCATTATTCATCCACTCTGCTGGGATGTTACTCTTCATAAGCAAGGGACAATAATGCTCACCTTCCCCACTGCAGGGTCACTGCAATGAACAAATGACACGTCAACGGTCATCACTGGAAAGATACGCAGTTATCTATGAACATGCAAATCATAATTTCAGAAAGGAAATAAAACTGCAATTTAGAATGAAATGCTCAGAACTTTTCATTGCTGATTTTGACCCAAGAAATGAAAAATAAAGGAAGGATCTGGTAAGACAGTAGCGAGATCACCAGGTAGGAAGGTCATGGCAAGGGGAGGAACGGAGGTCTTTCAGATGGAAACAGGATTCACACTCTGATTTCAGAACTTATTGGACCACCTATAAATGTCCTCTTTTTTAAATTGGGGATAATAATCTCTATCTTACAGTGCTGAAATAAGGAAGAGACTTGCAGAGATAAAAATAAATGTATTTGGTTGGTACATGGTCTCACTACGCAGCTCAGACTTGTAGTGATCCTCCTGTTTTCAGCCTCTCCAGTGCTGGGATTATAGGCATCTGCCACCATGCCCAGACTCTGCGGCCGGCTCAGCGCACCCTGGGGGTGGGGCCAGTGGGGCATTTGGTGCCGGGGATCAAACCCTGGTCCCTGTGCTTGCCTAAGCAGACACTTTAGTTCTCCAAGCTATCTTGCCGGCCTCATCCTACTTTTTTTTTTTTTTTTGGTACCACGGATTGAATTTAGGTACCCAGGCAAGTGCTTATTCTACTGAGCTATTTCCCTGACCCATCTTGCTATTTTTTAATCACATGATTTTAGGACAAATTACTCAACCTCATGGGGCTGGTTTCCTCATCCATAAGATGAGATCATAGCAGTAGTCACCTCATAGGGTGGTTGCTAATATTAAATATGTTAGTTGATGGAAAATGTCTAAAATGGAACCCTGGCACATACTGATAATCAGTACATGTTAGCTAATATTGTTATTATTAGCTATTAATAAAGCAATTATTTCAATCATTCATTAAGTCATTATTTGTAGTGTAAAATGTTGCAACTTAATTTTGCACTGCCTTAGCCTGTTTGGGCTACTATCTCAAATTTATAAATAATGAGGATTTATTGCTCACAATTTTGAAGGCTGTGAAGTCTGAGAGCAAGGTGTCCACAGATTTGGTGTCTGTTGAGAGTCTGTTTCTAGTAGATAGAAACTTTTGCATGCCCTCAAGTGGTAGAAAAGGCCTTCGAACTTGGCCAGGCCTGTTTTACAAGTGACCCAATCCATCCATGAGGCGGACTTCTTATAATTGAATCATCTCCAAAGCCCACTTCCTCCTCCTCCTCCTCCTC